TCTTCTTCTTCTTCTTCTTCTTCTTCTTCTTCTTCTTCTTCTTCTTCATATGTTGTCATTTCCTTCTGGAAGGTTCACACCCGCGGACGGCGGATCTCTCGGCTCTCCATGCTCTCCTCTGCACAGTCTCTCGGTTACACTCATGAAGGCCAATAGCATCCTTAATAAATGAGAATCCCACCGACCTTGCCTCCCAAAAAGAACCACCGACTGCAAGTTCCCCGACTAAACTGCGACCGCGATCCTCCATCCATCCACCCATCCCCAGTCATCCATCCTCCGGCCCCGCCCCCTCACCTTCCGTGGCGTGATGGGCCGCCGCTGCGGCGTCGCGGCCTGGTCATAGACCTTCCGAGCTGCGGAGCAGCGCGGTGGAGCGGAGCAAATCCGAGCCACTGGCTCAACAGAAACGAGGAATTCCACTCCAACCCTATTTATGGCCTCCAACCCTACTAGCGATGGCCTCCACTCCATGTCGGGGGTTCGAATCCAATTCATGTTGGACACAAGTGGCCGATGATCCACTCACTTGTTCGACTCAGATGGACCAACCAGGCAGCCCCTCCCCGCCCGCTTCGTCCCGCCTGCAGGGTCGTTGGAGCCCGGCCATAGCTCAGGGAGCGTGGTGTGTCCATTTCAGAGGCCATCTGCCAGGGACATGGAACTCGCTCGGAAATGCCCCACCCATGGGGGCCGAGGGAGTCTTCGAAAAAAGGCTTTCTCTAGAATAATGTTGACCAAAAATGCTAAAATAGACCATAGATGTTTTTTTTGTTGTTCTATAAAAGAAAATTGTCAAAAAAGGCTTAAAGGCTGACTCCGTCTTCGGAATGGCTTTCGAGTCTCAAAACGTAAAAGGTTTTGGGGGTCAAAGCCTGGTGAAGGAGTGTGACTCGTAGCTCCTTGGGTGTTTTCAAATCCATCAATTGCTTTACATATAGCTTGGGATGATGATGATGATTAGGTTGGCCGACATCTCCAAACCAAGTAAATGAATGAATAGGAATGGGAAGGCCGACATCTGCACGAGCGCACGAAGGCCTCAGTATGACGATGCACTAGTGGTTGCAAAGCAAGACATCACCCAGTTTCAGGGCAGATTCCAAAAAAACAGTCAGGACATGTCTGTCCGTTGTTGCCCAATTGACCATCTTTGCGCCATGAAAAAGCGTGCGAGACTCGAATCCAGACCCGAAGGACAAGCTAGCAGCTAGCAAAATGGAAAGGATTTGGATTCAAGATCGTGAAAGTGGAGGCTCCAAGGATTGTCTGGGCACGACACATATAAGCTTCCACGACCATGGTGGTTTGGTAGAGGCTATTAAATCAATGGTGGTTGGAATCCTAGGGCATAGATTCAGCACACCAAAGGGAAAAGTGAAGGGGGAAGACCTCTTCGGCAGGTGCTCCTTAGCGCATCGTCCTGCTGTCAAAACCGAAGCTACCACTTGAACGTCAATAGAATGTTCTACCGTTCTGGGCCCAACTGATTTCCACTGAAAACAGCAGTTTCTGGCCAGCAAAAGGAATCCAAGACGAATGCACCGGTTCTCAGATCCAGCTCCATGGCGTTTGGGTCCACTCTTCGCCCCTGGGAGCCCCCCCAAGGTTTCGCCCCACGTGCCTGCAAAGCGGCCGCCACGCCTTCGGAGGAACTCAAATGCCGCAAGTCCTCCCCGCCACGCGGCGCGCGGCCGCGCGGCTCCGCGCGGCCGGTCGAAGCCGACGGAGCACCCCCACCGAAGCATCCAGTGCATTGGCCTCCTACCTAGTAGCAAAAGGAAGTGATGGCCTTCCCCTTTTTGCGATGGCCTCCAACCTTGTAGCGATGGTTTCCAACCTACTAGCGATGGGAGCGGCATGAGCTTGGTGGACGGATGAACTTGTGCTGCTGTTGTCGATGCCGATCACAGGTCCAAAAGCTCAGTCGCAAGCTTGGTCCTGAAAATCCATGCAACAATGCAATCCTCTTTAAAATCCACCAGAGATATGAAATCATCTGAAAGTCTATTGGAGTCTTTTCAGGATGTCCCACACGTCCGATCCTTTGAGTGCAACTCACATGGTGGAAACGAAACCGGATGGACCTTGCTTTCGCCATGCCATGCACATGTCCGGTCGATGGTGGGGAGAAAACACGTAGGACCAGTTCTGTCCGCTTCTTTTCAATCTGGCCATTCCGTGGTGGACCAGTTCCTCCGTTTTTCCTCGGTTCCTCGGCCCCCCCCCCAAGCCCGCCGACGGCACGGCGGCGTCGCTGGACGCCCCCGTTCACCCGTGGCGTCCACACGAGAAAAAGGGTCCAACCACTCCCAACAACTCCCAGCGGACTCGCGGAACTCTTCTGCAACTCCGCCTTGTGGCAGCTCTCGCGCACGAGGCCACATCGGAAGCTACTGGTGCGATCCGCCGTGATGCCCCTGAGCGTTGGGGTGGTTGATGCCACCGAGAGGAACGATGGAGGGTGGCAGCTGGCATGCCCAGCTGGTGAGCTCGAGCTGAAGGACATCGAGGCATTCAAGAGTGTGGTCAAGTGCAATTCAGAATTCTCACAGCGATAGCACCGACACGTAGTCAAATCGTTGACCATGAGGGTGCCCTACCAATCCAGAAAGGACCAGGGTGTGGCTGGGACCTGAGTACAATGTACAGTGGAGGGGCCATCTCTTCCCTACGACCGTCGTAGTACGCTCAGTTCTCAATGTCTTCCCAGCAGCTCACGAGCATTTGGAGGATCACAAATCTCCTGAGGCACAACTCTCCAGGCACCGGACGCACGGAAAGTTTTGAGGCGCAAGAGGAAAACACGGCAACACTGGTTTTGAGTCCAAGCTCCTCCTAGTCCCTAGAGGCCCTGGAGGGCTCCAACAGATCTTTGTTTTGGGTTTTGATGTGCAAAAATTCCATAGCCAAAAAGGGCAAGGGTCCATGGCCGCACGAAACGATTTTTCTTGGGGGAGGAATTAAAAGCATCGATCCAAAAGGTGAATCAATGATTTGTTTAGTTTATATGGGAAATCGCGCCTCTCCTCCCTCTCTCCTTCTCTCTCGCCATCTCTCTTTTTGAGCACCTCTATACAGCATGACAACAACTATATACTGCTAACTGTGGCAACGTCTTGCTTTTCAGACACTCAACATCGCCAGGTTCCCCCCACCGGCCTGTAAAACGACACCGAAAAGAAGCGAGTCCGGAAGTTTGAGACTGGGATTTGCTGATGGTGGAGGATTGTTTGTAACCCGACAACCGAGAAACCCCCAATCTGTCACTCGAAAAACACACGAAATCGATCCACAGTCGAACCCCACGTTGTTCCACAAATCAAGGTCACCTGAAGAACAGCGGACGCCAAACTGATGCTGGAATGCTGGAAAGAAGATCAAGCACCGTTGTATCCCAACTGGTGATGGGGATTGATGTGCCTTCTGCTTTGGCCGTTCGACATGGACTCCACCCCAAGGAGTCACGGCCGCCCCCCAGTGTCGGTGTCCCGGACGGCTCGCTGTGCCGCCAAAGTCGCCGCCTCACCGTGCGATGCTTATAGCTTTATGGTTACTAGTAACAGTAGCGATCAAAGACATACTAAAAGCTTCTTGTTACTACAGGTGAAACGATTCCCAGTATAACGAGTCCCAGTGAACCCCCCACAAGCATGAATATATCGGGTGTTTGGAGGTGATTGGAACAGGTGAAGCCAAACACCATGGACCTAAATCGCAGGTCGGGAGGCGACCAACTACCGTATACAGGTGACACCAATGGGCAAGGCATGGCAAGGCATTGGAAGAGATGTTTTCTTTTAAGAGAACCCCCCACACAGATCCACTTGGCAAAGGCCAAACTGGACCACCATGCCAGTGGAGGTTTCCATCGGCTTTGGCTTTGACCTTCTTGGGGCATGAGGAAGCTCCATCCCTGCAGAAGCCCGGCCAAAAAGGCTCAAACGACACGTGAACGTCCAAACCTCGACGCATCGTCCAAACCGCCCGATCAGGCGACGTCCTCCCCCAAAATCCAATCCGGCCTCCGCCGTGCCCGGCGTTCTCGCGTGCCGCGGCGCCATTGGGGAGAAACGCCCGTGCCCGGAGTTTATCTCTGCAACGGTGAGACATTCACGAAGTAGCGAACGAGCTGCGAACGGGTTCACGTTTTTTTGGGGTGTATGCAATGATCCAGAATTATATTTGAAATGGGTTTGTTGGATGGGAGCGGCGTCCGACACCCTATCTTTGTCCTTCGATGGATCTGGATGCATCCATTTCGATGGAAGGTCTTTTGTAAGACTTTGAGGAACTTATATAAGAGCGATGGCCTCCATCCTAATAGCAATGGCCTCCACCCTAATAGCATTGGCGATGTCCTCCAACCTAATAGCGATAGCCTCCAACCTACTTTGTGGTTTCTTCGTCTTGTCTTGTCTTGTTTGAGTGTCTGCAAAATGCTGCATACTGTGCTGCATACCCGATCTCAATAAAGCTGTTTTGTATTTGTATCTATGACTCATGTTGAAAGAACCTACCAGCGCACAAGGAACATACAGAACATGGAAAGGTGAATGTGTTGCAGTGATGAATACCCATGTGTTTTTCAACGCTTGTCAATTGAGCAGCAAAGGCTGTCTCGGATCTGGGTTTGATTATTAAACACACACACAAGTACAAATGGATCTCAAAGCAATTGACACCAGAAAATAGTGATGCCACCAGAGCATGTGACACTGTGGCCAACAAGTCAACTTTGGGAGGGCACAATCAAGGGCATATTTACACCTACCGTGCTACCCCAAATGAAAGAAAACACATGATAATGATAATTAATAATCTCTTAAATCTTGGTCTCTCACTCAACAGAAGCTGCGCGTGCGCCAAGTGATAGACAACGTGGGTGTCCATATTGTTTGAATTTGCATGCGTTTGGTTGCATCTGTTGGCGCACTGCGAAGTCCAAGGTCTTATACCCTTTTTGTTTTCAATGCGAAAATAAAATTCAAGAAAACCACCTCAAAAAATGTGTGCCTTCGTGAGCACTGTTTGCTTTGAGCAACGTGAAATCTTCGCACAAACACATGTGTATTTAAAAATATACACACATATATCATTGACCGTTTCTCTTTGACACAGTTTCCTTCTTCGCTCATGACGCAGAACAGCAGAACACAGGTCAGATCCCCAGGTCGGGGCGTTAGTTCGGAAGTCTTCAGAAAAAGAATCTTAAACGGATGCGGTTTGTGGCAAGGTTGGTTCGCATCAAAGGCATGTCATTGCAAAGTTGCAAGGTTGACATTGTCAAGGGTCCACATGGTAAACAAATGCATTAGAGACCTTTGGCCGCCTAAGGTCATTGCGAACGCAAGAGAATGATGCCAAAAAATGCCGAGGTCAGCGCGGACGACAAGAATTGCAATTTCAAGAACAGGGGGGAAGTCTCGGGTCGACTGTACCTCATTGTTCATTTTCAGCTCCGCAAGTCGCACGCAGCACAACAAGCAATCGCACCGGCATAGACCCCAAAAGCGAGTGTAAAAAGTTAAAGGACACGCCACGGACGGCTGTCACCGCAGCAGCACGCAACATCAGAATCCCTCGCACGACATGCGTTCATCCCTGACGACATGATGTCATTTTTTCCCATGCCTTTTTTTCCGGCTGCAGCTCTCCCACGGCCATCCTTGAAAGGAACCCTGAAGTGACATGATGTCATCCCCTGGCACGACATCATGTCACGACAAGCATGGCACGCTTTCAACCCTGCCATGACATGATGTCGCGCATGCCGTGGTCTCACCTTCACATGTCGTCCCTATGTCATTTCAGGGCATGGCATGAAACAATGCCATCATTGTGTCATCACGTCATCCTTCGATGCCATCTCCACCAGTTCCAGGGCTGAAGTCCACATCCCCGTGATCCACAAGTGGAAGGACAGCGTCTTGAGGTGGTTTGGTGTAAAGACGATCCAGCGATTCAAGATGAGGACTGGGAAGTCAGTTGCAGCCAAGTCAGCACCGCAAGCTTTTTTGCACGGGTGGAGACTTCATGTGTGCAGAGGTTGCACAGGTCATCTTGTGCTAGTGACGAGAGAGTTACTAGCCAGGTTGCGGTGCAAGAAAACACCAGCAAAAACCAGCAAAACAAACAACCAACCAACCCAAACAAGAACCAACCCACCCCACAACGCCGCAACCTGGTATATAGCTCGAGCGGTCATGTAGCCCAAAAGAGTAGAGTGAGACAGGGGCAATGAATTAAGCACCGGCTCTCAGTTCAGCTGGACCATGAGGTTTGGCTTTTCTTCATTCCTTATCTTTGGCCTCTCATCATTCCTAGTTCTTCCTTGCAGGCAGCAAGGCGTCCTGAGTCAGGACGCTTGTGCACGCTGTTGCATTTGGAGAGCAAAGCAAGCTACACTTACCTGGTCGTGCATTCAAAGGTGCAAGCCTATTTCATGCAAAGCGAAGTAAGGGCTTTCCTCTGCAACATTGCACAGGCACCAGGGAAAACCACTGCCACTGCGAGATGCTCCCGATAGCTCCAAACTGTCGGTAACAAATTCGGCAGTGCAGCCTGTGATTGATAGGAGTTTTGAAGGAAGGCAGTTGCTTGCTGCTGATGTCAGCTCCTCCCCGAATGGGGAGGAGGACAATGATACCACACACAAAACTTGCATCGGTGGCTTCCGAACAGCTTGGCCAAGGGAAGGCACAGAAAGGCAAGTGGACCATTTGGCTTGAAAGGACGCACAGATGGACAGGTGGGAGCCATAGGCTTGCATTGGCTTGCTTACGGTGCATAGTGTTGAATGTCTGTACCACGCAGTGCCCCTCTACTATTGTGAAACGTGGTGAAACGTCGTTACCCTGCGTCTCAGCGACCCTAGTAAAATCTGTACACTTTGTATTCATCCAGGACCAACACTGAGGTGCCAGCCTGGGGGCTGTCTATCTAGGGTGTCTTGCTGTACAGAGGCTACGGAGGCAGCGAAAGATATCGCCAGCAGGACCGACACTGAGGTGCCAGCCTGTGACGGGCTAGCGAGTTGTTAGTGCTGGTTCCTACGTAGCTCCTCGTCAAATTCAGCGGAATTGAAGGTCTGACTGCCTCCTTGATTCAGCGGGAGGAGGTTGATCCACTCTGGCATGCGAAATTTGTCACACAAGTCGAAAGTGTCACATTCAGCGTAGGGCCCTCTCCATGTGGCTTTCTCTTCCATTTTTATGAACTGACTGAGTTGCCCACATTCGAAGAAGGCTCGGTGGGCAATATAGAGTAAAGACAGTGGGGTGTGCACCTCTTGCAACGAGGAGCACAGCAGAAAGGCTTCTTTGCCTATACGTCTTAGCTTTCGTGGGAACCATATTTGCGCCAGGTGCGCGCAGTGCGAGAAGGTAGACCCCCATATAGCAGTAATATCAGTACCAATTAAATCAACTATCCGCAGCCGCTTGCAGTTTTCACATGCAATGGGTCCTACGAAGTTGAAGTCTGCTGGCAGTTTCAATTGCTCGATTCCGGACCCACAGACGCTTCCCTCTGGTAGATATCGCGCACATGTCGAGGCATGGGCCTCTATCTGCTCGAAGGTGACCTGCG